TTGCTCGATTTAGGCTTTGGTCGGAGGATTTATGCATTACCACAATTTCGAAACTATCAGAAAAATGGTCAACTACTGGATAAAAGATGACAAAAAATTCGCAATATGGAGGGTCGATGCGCCTTGGCTTCCTCGAACTAAAGTACCACAAGGTCTGAAGCTGGGCGGAGGCAAACGATCCATTCACCACTACGTGACTCCAGTCCGCGCCAAGAGAATTGTCATGGAATATGGCGGTTTCGTTTCTTTTGAAGAGGTATTGCTTTACTTTGCAGATGTCTCGATGATGTAACGGCGAGCCACGGCTTTTGTGTTACTTATTGAATGGCATATCTACTGTAAGATCTATATATATATATAGATCTTCAGCCGGTCGGTTGGATAAGTAGTAGGTGATTCGCCTTCCTTTCTGAGGGTATTCAGAAGACGTGCTCAGACCATCGCAGTTAAGATTTCTCAACTTGGAGAAGCAGCCACTGTGCACCAAGGCTCTCGCGGATATCCGAACTTTAAACCACTTCGATAGACGAGAACCTAACGATTCCTAAAGATTCGTTTCAGAAAGAACAATGCAGCAACAACCGTTTTACCGTTTTAAACAAGCAAGAGAAAATTATGCCTATGATCGTTAAACGAGCGATACGTGGTTCACGCTGTTGTCATAAAGCAGTCAACAGCTACAATAGGCCAAAAGCGATAACTTTGGTACATGTCTGTATGCCCAATTTGGAGAGAGAGAGTATAATACTTCCTTCAGGAAGTGCAGTGTGCTCTGTCCGAAGTGCTGAATGCCGAGTCCCTCATACTCATGGAAAATTTTAATGCGCATGTCGCACGCTGAAAAGTGGAATGGCGTCATTGGATAAAATGGCCCTAGCGACATCAACAATAACGGCATGAAGTTTTTGCGGTTTTGTGCAAACAATGGATTGTCCATTATGAAGCATCGTGAAGTGTATCAGTACACCTGGTACCGGGATGCTTGTGCACAAAAGTCGATGATCGATTTGATAATCGTATCGTCTGACCTAAGACGCTCAGCAGTGGATGTTCGTGTTAAAAGAGGTGCAGACCTATCAACCGATCATCACCTTGTTGATGGCACGCTGCGCTGTAAGAAATGGAGTACCATACGAAGATCTGGTAAAAGAAGCAACCGAAGAGTCAAATGGGGAACATTATTTTCGGTGGACACGAAAGCGAAATTTGTAAACAACATCGTACGATGGTCTGAACAGATCCCGGTGATGACAACTGATATTGAATCCGAGTGGCAGCTCTTTAAGAGCGGCATACTCGAGGCTGCTGCCGAATGCTGCGGATATAAGCGGGTTGGCCTGCCGCCTGGAGGTCAGAAACGATCTTCATGGTGGACACGAGAGGCACAACTGACAGTTAAAGAGAAGAATGCAGCGTTCAAGAAATTGCTTGGAAACAAAGAGCCGTCAACCTGCAGACGGTATGTGGAAGTGGGCCTGGCGGCGCGAAAGCAGTGCCTGGGAGAAGTTTGATGAGGTGTAGAGTCGAGTTTTCGCATGGCAAAGAAAGTATTCTGGCAGACCATCCGCCGGCTCCGAGGTGAAAAGAATGGCATTACTTATGGTCTTCTAGAAATTGCTTGTTTCCCGGAGATGATTCGTATAAGAGAATGTTTCTGATCAACTATTATATTTAGAGAAATATTTTTTTTGAAAATGGAAAAGAAGTTTGCCTTTAACCGTTGTGGTTTCTGTTTTTTTATTTTTTTACGATGGGGTCAATTTGGGTAGCATTAATTTCATGTTTGCAAGAAGCCTGTGGTGCGGCGCTAATCCCCGTCTCAATGTCATTTCCGCAATGTGCCATATTTTTTGGAAAGCAGAATCTAGAGGTTGTGGGAAGCATAGTATAGTGTCAAAAAAATCAAAATTTGCCAGGCGTCAATTTCTGAGTTCAAACGTTCTGAAAGTCATAGTCGGTTCTTATTGATTTGTAACTGGATTGTATCATTTCATTTTGAAAATGTTTTTAAAACGACATTGTTTATAAAATAGTCGAGTAGTGCTTTGAAAAAGTGTTTAGACAGACGATGTTGTCATTCTCTGTACTCACACAAAGGAGACGATTGCTTCTAGGACAGTAACTGATTGCCTTCTCTTTTCGTTGACAGATCTGTTCGTTTTTCGTAAAATTTCCCTAAATTTATTAAATAATTAAATTAAACTATTTCATTAAAATATGCAGTTAAAAATAGGTGGATAAACTAAAATTGTTAGGTCGTTTTATAAGTACATTTAACGAGTTCGCTTTTCGATCATTGAATCGAGTCCGTAAGTCATGAATCCATAGTAATTAGAATAATAAATGAACAATGCGGTGTATTTTTTTTATCAGTCACACTCTATGATCCATAGTAG